GAGGGAGGGAGGGAGGGAGGGAGGGAGGCAGGCAGGCAGGCAGGCAGGCAGGCAGGCAGGCAGGCAGGCAGGCAGGCTTTGCCAACAGCGTGGGTCTGGCCTTCTCTGAGAGAGAGTAGCTGTAGTGGTATTGGCATTCATTTGATGAAGATAGACATTTATGGTGTTAGTCCTTCATGGTCTGTGTCATATACTTTCCTCAGCTTTAGCCTGTTTGTATGCCACAGTTTATATTATGTGTCAGTTCGTTGTTTATGTCCAAGTTCTGTAAGAATTTCCCCGGTTATATAAACATTTACTCCAATTTTCTTTCTTATTAATGTTTTTGGTTTTGCTCTTAAATTGTATTCAGTTTGAAAGCATCCTAACATAATTTTGATTTGTTTGTTTCTTCTATTAGATAATAAATTCATTAAATAATTTTTCTTTTTCAGCAATTTGAAATGCCTTTTTTCCATGCTGATGTTTTCACCTCACACAGTGTTCCCAGCATGGCTAGTCTGTGCACCATTAGGCAGCAGAAACTCAAGTCCTCTGTCTACAGAATGGTGTAGGGTTTCATTCATGCTTTCTGTTTTCTTTTTCTTTTTTTGAGACAGGGTTTCTCTATGTAGCTTTGCGCCTTTCCTGGGACTCACTTTGGAGACCAGGCTGGCCTCGAACTCACAGAGATCCGCCTGCCTTTGCCTCCCGAGTGCTGGGATTAAAGGCGTGCCCTACCACCGCCCCGCGCTTTCTGTTTTCATGTCATGGTCCTTATGGATGTTCCTAAATGTGTTTTATTTATTTTGTATGCTTTGGGTTATGCTGTATTTCTCTGTGAGGGGCAGTTTTTACACAGTGTGTTTACTTAAGTTAATGTTTGTAGCCTTTATTTATTTACGTTCCATACTCTAGGGAGAGATTATAGCTTAGCCATTCTGCTAGTGGCCATTCAGATTATTTCCAACTTTCTCCTCTGGTAACGTTATTGCATATCTTCTGGTACACTTGTGCAAGCTGGTTCTTAGGGCATCTTTGAGTTCATTTTATTGGGTAATTTCAAGCTGTTTGCCAAAATGATTTTTATCAGTTAATTTTCAAAGTCCTTATTGTTCCATTTCCACATAAACATTTGGTACTGGTGAAAATTTAACTTTGAGCCAGACAGAGTGGCACACACCTGTGATCCCAGCACCTGGTAAGCTGGTGCAGGATTACTGTGACTCTGAGATCTACCTGGGCGCAGAGGGAAACCCTCATCTCCAAAGACAAACAGCACTTTGCCATTCAGGAGTCTGAACTGTGCTTCACCGTGGCTCCCAGGTGAGCACTTCATCACTGCCTTGGGGCCAGTTAGCGTTCTGTTCTTTCCTTTGCCCATTTGTGACGTGTGCAGCTTTCTGGTTCATGTATTCGCACCACTCTTTATTACTTATGTGTGCTAAGGCATCTCTGAGTTTGCTGTGTTTCTTTCCGTAAGATTTCTTAGAGTTGTTATACTTTTGTTGTTGGTTTGAGATTAGATCTCAAATCACACGGGCCAGCCTTGCACTTATGCAGCTGAAGATGGCCTTGAACTCTTGATCCTTCTGCCTTCAACTCAAGGCGTTGGGCTTATAGGCTAGTACTATGACATTTGGTTTAGTTATCATACTTCTTAAGGTTTGTGTGTTTTTTTGGATTTTTTGGTACTGGGGATTAAATCCAGGACCTGGGGAATGCCAGGAAGGTTCTCTACCAGCTGAACTGTATCTTTAACCTTTTCTTGGATTTAATAAAGCAAAACTTACCCTTTTTTAGTAATTAACACTTTTGTGTTTTCCAGAAGTATTCCCTGTACAGACATCTGATATTCTTCTATATTTTTAAAAACTTTGTTTATTTTTGCATTTGAGTTTTATCTGAAATACTTCAGTCCATAGAGTCATGTATGGGGCCAGACTTCATTTTTTCTCCAATATTGTTTAACCTACTCTTTTGGGTGGCAGCCACTGTATTCTCTGTGTTAGAAATGAAATTCCGTAGAATGTGAAGTAGAATGGGATATGTTCCTGACTGTCTTTTCTGCTGTGCTGATCCAGTCGCCTGTCCTCACAGTCCTTCTCATCTCAGATGCTTTCTGTGCAACTCTTGGTAGCCTTGTTCACTCCCAGGACTGCTGTAGTCACTTTGTCCTTCGATACAGACTTTGTCATTCTTCTTGGAATTGTTTTGAAAACAGATTCTCCTTTTGAGTCTATATTTCTCTGTAGTATAAAACTTTTCTCCATTTATTTTTATCTTTCAAAATTCTTTTGGGTTTTATCGTTTCTCCATTAAAAATAAATTTGTGCCGGGCGTTGGTGGCGCACGCCTTTAATCCCAGCACTCGGGAGGCAGAGCCAGGCGGATCTCTGTGAGTTCGAGGCCAGCCTGGGCTACCAAGTGAGCTCCAGGAAAGACGAAAGCTACACAGAGAAACCCTGTCTCGAAAAACCAAAATAAATAAATAAATAAATAAATAAATAAATAAATAAATAAATAAATTTGTTTTTTGTTTTCTACTTCAAAAGTTTTTAAATTTTATTTTCTTTTTTCCCTCTCTTAAATGTAACAGTTTTCATTATATCTAGAAATCTTAGTAAACTTGCTTATCAATGATGCACTTTGTGTAATGTCTTGGTTTCCTATGTGATGACAGTTTTATTTACCTTTTTTTTTTTTTTTTACCTTTATGGAGTTTTACCTTTATTTATGGATGGTAAATAAATAAACATACCTTTATTTATTTACCTTTTTAACCCTACTTCTTGTTTAATTGGTTTTTGTTGACTGTGGCTTTTAACACCTGTCTAAATTGAAATAGTACTAATGTACATCTTTATCTTTTCTTTTTTAAAGATTTTTTTAAATTAAAGAATTATATCACCCCCCATTTCCTCCCTCCACCTCCTCTTAGAAACCTACCCTCCAACTCCTCCATCCTTCCTCTCAAATCAACAACTTCTTTTTCTTTATTATTGTTACATATATATCAATGTGTGTATGTGTACACATTACATAAATATAACCTGCTGAGTCAGTTTTGTTGTTGATGTATATATGGTTTCAGGGCTGATCACTTTGTATTGAACAACCAACCCCTGGAAAAGGCTAATTCTCCTTCTCCCAGCATATAGTTGGTTATCTATGGGTAGGTGGGATCCTATGGGTGAGTGAGACCCCATGAAATGTCCCCCTTCCATGTTAGCATGTTTATTGATATTGCCATTGTTTGGGTCTTATTTATGCATTTATTTCTAAGGGACAGCAGCTTCCTGGTCCTCTAGCTATCATAGTCTTCCTGCCCCTCTTCCTTGATGTTCCCTGCACATAGATGCAGGAGCTGTGATGTAGATGTATCCACTAGCGATGGGCTCCATCAGATCAATTGATCTCTGCGTTGTATCCAGTTGTGGTTTTCTCTGATGGTTTTCGTTTCTCCATAAAGAGAAACTTCTTTCATCAGGGATGGTAACTTTACTCACACCTTAAGATTTGGAGCTGGGATCCACAAATGAGAGAGAACATGCAGCATTTGTTTTTCTGGGTCTGAGTTCTTTCATTCAAGATAATCTTTTCTAGGTCCATTCATTTACTTGCAGATTTCATTTTTCTTTATAGCTAAATGCATTCCATTGTGCATGTACCTCGTTTTTTATTACCCATTCATCAGTTGAAGGACATTCGGATTG